TCATGAAAGCTGCATTGCTATGGACTATAAGTGATTTTCCAGGTTATGGCATGTTATCTGGATGGAGCACACATGGGAAGTTGTCATGCCCTTATTGCATGGAGAACACTAAGGCTTTTCAACTTCAATATGGGAGGAAAGCATCATTTTTTGATTGTGATCGTCAATTTTCACCTCCTAAACATCCATTTCGTAGAGATAAGAAGAATTTTTATCTCAATAGAGTTGAAAAAAGCCGCCCCCCCCCAAGACTAGATGGTACTTTGATGGAAGAAAGGGTTAATCAGCTCCCTGACATAGTCTTTGGTCAGCTACTTCGTAAACATTCAATTGCAGGATTTGGTGTTTTTCATAATTGGGTGAAACGTAGTATATTTTGGGAATTGCCATACTGGAAGGATTTATTGATTTGTCATAACCTTGATGTCATGCATTGTGGGAAGAATTTTTTAGATAACATTAAAAATATTGTTATGGATGACAAGGGTTGTACAAAGGATAACACCAATGCTAGATTGGATTTACAACTGTATTGCAATAGATCTGAATTAGAATTGATACCTCAAGATGATGGAGCAAGATGATGGAACAGCTATAAAACCCAATGCTTTATATGTTCTTAGTCGAGAGCAACGAGCTCTTATCTGTCAGTGGCTGAAGGAATTGAGATTCCCAGATGGGTATGCATCCAACATAGCACGATGTGTTAACATGCAGGAACTTCGATTGTTTGGGATGAAAAGTCATGATTGTCATGTATTCATGCAGCGTCTCTTGCCAATTGCTTTCCGTGATTTCCTCATAGATGAAGTTTGGGGTCCCTTAACTGAGATCAGTAACTTTTAGAGCTTTAACTGCTCCGATTATTCAAGTCAGTAACATGGAGATGTGGGAGGAAAAAATTGTTGAGACCATTTGCAAATTAGAGAAAGTATTCCTGCCAGCATTCTTTGACTCGATGGAGCATTTGGCTATCCATCTACCATATGAGGCAAAAGTTGGAGGACCTGTCCAATTTTATTGGATGTATCCTTTTGAAAGGTATATTTCTTCCAATATATCTTTACATGACAATAACATTCATGAGCATATTTAATAATTTAATGTTATTAATTAATTTTCTTATTTGTTTAACAAAAAAATGCATGATCTTAAGAAAACAGTGTTGAACAAAAATCGTGTTGAAGCTTCAATTTGCGAGTCTAATATTCTTTCAGAAATTTCCTTCTTCTGCTCACATTATTTTGGATCTAACATAGAGACAAGATTGAATCGTCAACCAAGAAACATTGTCGGCATGAATGATGATATGGATAATTGTTTGTCTATCTTTAAACATCGAGGTCAAGTATTAGGTGGAGAAATGCGTATGCGTGCATTGTCACCCAAAGAATTAAAGGCAGCAGAACTTTATGTTTTGCTTAATTGTGAAGAAGTTAATCCATGGATTGCGTATGTTCTCTAGTTCTACCTTTCATTTGTTTAAGTTACTAGTATGTTTAGATCTCAATTTACTCCAATTTCTTCATGTAGGCTTTTTGATTATCAAGTATGTTCCGGTTTATCAGAGGATCAAATTCAAATCAAAAGGCAACTTGAATTTATTCCTTGGTTTAAGACAACAGTAAGTAATTTATTTTAATAATCTTTATTAGTAAGATCTCAATTTTTATATATTTTAGGATTAAATATTAAATATTTTTATAACAAATATAGGTGCGTAATGGAAGATATGAGGTTGATTCTCGCCTTTTGCCTTTAGTAACTGGCCCAGTCAATAACGTTAGGGTATACAATGGTTATTAGGTTAATGGATTTCGGTTTCATACTATCGCATACGGACAAAATAAAAAGACCATGAATAGCGGTGTTTGTGTGAAGGGAGCCACTTTCAATGATGAGTCAGATTATTATGGAAGTGTGAAAGAAATAATTGAGCTTCAGTATTTTGACTCATATGTTCATCAATCAGTGATTTTGTTTAAGTGTGAGTGGTATGATATCAACAAAGGCATTGTGGTCCATCCGACATCTGGTATAGTTGACATAAATCCTCGGTTTAAATTATAAACAGATGAACCATTCATATTGGCCAGTCAAGCTCAACAAGTGTTTTATGCCCGTTACCCATCTCAAAATCCTTGTAGAAAAGGGTGGTTTGCTGCATGTAAGATTA